TCTGTATGAAAGGTTTGGTAATTTTGAAATTGGTTCATTTTTGAAACTGAGACATGGTCTCCTGCTATCATACCTTTTGTGAATCGGCCTGTTTTCATTCAACCAACTGTACTTTATCTGTGTGTACTCTCAGATTGCCCAGCTAGGCTGTTGACTCAGAGCCACATGGCGAGTCTCTGTGCTAGGTATTCCTTCCCCAGATTGCCTTTTACAGAAAAGCCACTGTAAGGGCTGTTTCTCCCCAGAAATGAAAAGGGTACTCAGCGAGAGAATATCTTTTGTTGTTGGTTTGTGATAGGAGCCAATGTCTCCTTTGCATTTTGAAGCACGATGACATTCTCCCAAATCACATTACGTCAGGCTCAAGCATAGAGAAGCCTCGCTTTGCTCTGCTTTTCTGTAAAGCCAACAGGCATGGGTAAATTCTGATATGGGATTTTGAAAAGAATTAAGAAATTAGCATTTGAGTGAAAGTCTGAAACTCATAATTTTCAAATAAAATTTTCTCTTGCCATAAGTTATTTTTAGATGACTTATTTTCTAGTGTATTGAGGAAAAATAACATCATTCTCTCAGCAAAACATCCTATATTTGCATTTCGAGTATCTAAATCCTCAAATGAGCAATACATTTTCTGAACTCAGTGTTTTTGGGTAGAAATGAAACTGCTCTGAGCAAACTTGCAAGCCTACAAATGTTTCCTTGCTCCTGGGCAGTGAGCAGGGCTTGCCCTGGAGGGAGCCCTGAGCGGCTCATTCTGGGCCCAGCCACGTGACCTGGAGCACAGTACCCGCAGATAAGAACCAGAAGCAGGACCTCACAGGCAAATATCTGTGCCTGTACTCATTGCTACTGTAGAGCAGAACTCTTGCATTGCAAGGATTATTTGTGTGTGCAGTTTTCATAGGATAATGGCCCTTTTATTTTTAGCAACAACTAGGGACTGGACAAGTAGTGATTTATCAGGCAGGAAGGTAAAAGTATAATATGAGAGGATGGAGAAGTCAGGTCTTTTCACGATGGAAAGCCATCTCTGTAAGGATCCGAAGAAAAAGAGCAAAGTTCAAGTAAGTTGATCTATAAGCTCAACACGTCTGACACAAGAGTTTTGAAGCCAAAGGTGGGAAAGGGAAAGATAAGAAAACAGAGTCAGTCCAAAGTTCATTTGGAAAGACAAGCTAGAAAGGATGTGATAAAAATTCTGAAGGGAGGAGACCTTGCTCCAGTAGGTATTTTAAACAATGTAGACAGAAATTATTGATAGTGCTTTATTATAGGAATACATTGATAAATCAGAAGTATCTTATATTGTGTAGTCATGTAAATTAGAATCTGTTTACCTAGCCACTGCAAGAACCTCGGTGAAGGCTTGGCTGAGTGGAGGCTGGCTTTGTAGCTGGAACAGACCCTTTTCTCCATGAAGTAGGCTCTACTGGCTCAACTAGCATGGCATCTTGGCTGGAAGTCAGCCTGGAATGGGCCTTCAAGAGAAGTCCTATTATACTGTGCATGCTATTCGGTAACATCTGGAAGTCCTGCATAAGCAGAGCCTATTTTATATCTCAATTAATAGATGATAAAGATTACTTCTAAAATCATTGAACAATGAATCATCCAATTTGTGAAGTTGGATGAAAAGATATTATTTGGGAGGGGGGAACATAAGTAAATTAGCATACATAAAACTACATATTACCTGAAAATACAAGTGACTAGGTTTGGCAAAATATAAGCATTACAAAGAAACCCTGGAAACCATAGAAGACTACATTAAAGGGTTGTTATTTATTGGAGTTTCCCAGTGACCCTAACAAGAACTGGATGGCAGAGAGGGAACAGAAAAGGCAATCATGGTGTTAGGAATGCAGGTGATTTTATTTTGCTTTCGCATGTGCCTGTAATATTTTTGTTTTTTAAGATGGACATGTTTCATGGTCTTAATCAGGACAACCGAAATGCATAGTTTTCTTTCATGAGAGATGAAACAGTGGGAGTCCAAAGGTAAATAACATGGTCCTAGGAACTCAAAACATATTTGGCTAGGTTGCACATAACATACAGAATTACACCATCTTTTCAATTCACATGTCTGGGATTTTGATTCCATTTTTAAAAACTTCTTGTCTTAAAGAGTTATCAAATTACCTACATGGTGCATTTGCTATAATGTGGAACTAAACAATTAGCATAGTTTTGCAATCACAGCAATAAAATTATTATTCTGAATATAAAGACAAACAGTTTGCAATCTTAATGTTCTTTTAGTTCAAGTGAGAAAAACTTCAAAATGGCTTTAGCAAGAAGATTTTAAAATTATCAGAAGGCTTCTGAGGTTTCATGAATGTCTTTATTCAACTATGATGAATGTGAAGAACTTTCAAATGGAAATGTAAAGCATTCAGGATGGGTAGAATTAGGTATTTTCTAAGGGTCACGTGCTGCCAGCGTTATGCAACCCTTCTCCTTGGCATTTTGCTCTCACTTCCTGGGGCATGCTATAAATCTCATTTAAAATCTCTTTCAGTTTGGTTTTAGTGCTGCTTAAAACTGGGTTCTGACAGCCTTGAGATTTTTATACCTCTTAGCCATTTCATAAAGCAGTGCATATCAAAAGTCAGGATATAAAAATTACAAAGCAGCACTGAGTTTAGCAATTTTGAACATTGGAAGAAAATGTGGAAATGAGTTATTTTCAGCTCTGTACGCAATGGTTGGAAACAGTTATACAGATTCATGTACCCCCAGTCATCAGTCCATGGTGGTTATAAACAGGAGCAACATTAAGGTTTTTATTAGCAACATTAAGGGCTCAGGGAGGTCTCTAAAGGAAAGATATATAATGTCTTCAGGAAATTATCTCAACAGCTAATTGAGAAAGCGAATGGAATAGGAGTGAACTCTCACTGCCAACTCTCACTCACTGTCTTACCTCTGAGAACCTCAGTGTTACCTCTCCAAACACCCGCCCAAGGGACTCAATGCTGAGTTTGGTGAGAAAGCATTTAAAGGTCCTTTTCTTGAAAACCATGGAGGCAAATGAACAAAGAATATGTACGTACGATGAGATTTTTCATTAATCCATAGCACGTTTGTTCTCTGTAGACTGATTAGTCTTCAGCCTTGTAATGGAGAAGCAGAGCTACAGTATGTTGGAGATAGGTCCAGTGTTTCTCAGAAGAGGGTCAGCATGCCTTAGGTGCTGAGGCGTTCTGGGGAGTCTTGAGTTCTCTATGAAAATCCTACAAAAAGAAAAGCACACATTTGTAGCTTAAGGAACTCATGCATTTAGTCAGCTCCATTATCCCAAGTACTAAGCTTCCACTTGTTTGTATTTTTTTTTTTACTTGTTTGTATTTTTATAGTCATGTTGATAACAAGTGATCATGTAATTGGTTAGATTTTTCTTTTCTTTTTTTTATGTATTTAGTACAGGGTCTACCAGGTCTCACTATGTAGATCAGACTTGTAGTGATCCTCCTGTTTATAGCCTCCCAAGCAGTGGGATTACAGGCATATCACCACACCCACTATTAACTGCCGGCTCCGCACTCCCCGGGGTGGCGGAGCCAGCATGGCAGGCCCGGGAATTGAACCCCGGCCACTTCGTCTACCTAAGCAGGTGCTTTAATCTGCTGAGCTATTTGACAGGTCCTAGATTTTTCATACATGAGTTGTTCAATGGTTATTTAGCAATTATTATGGTCCTCAGATTAATGTTTTCTCTACGGTGATTTTAAATGTGTGCTTAACGGTTGTAATCGGGGAGGGGACAATTAAAAGAGGGCAATGGGTCAATTCTCAAGGGGCCTGATTTCTGGACCTCGCTTTAATACTTCCTAACCATGAGATTTGGGGAAAATAATTTTAAGATTTTTTTTTTTTTTTTTTTTTTTTTTTTAGTCGAATATATTTATTGAGGGAAAGAAAGCTCCTGTCCCAGAGAGGGACCAGAGGGTGCGGGGGCGACCGGAAGTGGGGGAAGCAAGCAGGCAGTCCCTCATTTTAAGATTCTTGAACGTCACTTTGTGGGCAAAACAAGGGAGCACAGTAGAGCGAGGTGACCTCTCAGCACAGTCTTCCTTTGGTCACTGTGATAGACTCAGGCATTTTCTAGTGATCACGTGCTGCCAGTGTCACGCAGCAATTCTTTTCAACTTCAAGAGCATCCGGGAGAAGAAAGCTGGCTCAGTTACTTACAAGGTGTGGCGCGGAGTGGGGAAGGCAATCTGGGTGGAGTCCCTTCCTCCCCTGGCCTGACGCTACTCTATCTTAACTCCCGTGCAAGTACATGCGATGGTGCCTCTGGGAGTTGAAGCACTAATTCCTTTCGCCTGCTGTAACCCAGCAGAAGTGTCCTGGGGCAAAGGGATGAGCGAGGATGACGGGAAGGGAAGCTGCCTCCCTGATCCTGCGGTCTGGATGCAGCCGTCACGCATCATAAATGCTAACCTCATGAAATCTCTTTGTACATCTATCTTCCCATTCAGGCTCAGATTTAGTGCCCTGAGTCCCGAGAAACATCTCCGAAAACTTTAATAAAGATCCCCTCACGCTGTAGGCAAGCTCCGCCTAGGAGAACAGCAGTCCTCCGCTCCCCTAATCCCACACAGCTCTGCGAGTCAGAGAGGCTTTGTTGCGTTTTTTCTGGACCTCAGCACAAAAGTCCTGGACTCCGAGGTGAGCCTGTGAGCGAAGCAGTACGTACGTTGTGGCGGGTGAGGCCCTGGTCGTGTTAAAAGAAATCAAAAGTGCAGAGATCCAGGTGGAGTGTAAGAGGCAGGGTGGGGTCTCGCGTTGCTGTCACTGCTCAACTGCGCCAGCGCTTTCGCGACACGGATCTGAGCGAGGCGTGTGTGCTCCGGGTCCTGCTTTGCTTGGGGCAGCTCGGCCCCCACTGAGCCCTAGAGGAGGTGTTTTGAAGTCGTGCTGAGAGCCGCGCGAGCGAAGGAACCGTCCAGCTCCAGCGCCTCGGCAGGAGGTGGGGTGAGGTGGGGTGGGGCGTGGCGGGGTGCGGCGCCGCTCAGCTCCGTACGCTCTGGAAGGGGTGCGCAGCGCCCCCCTAGATCACGTCTGCGCCCCGCTCCCCCAGCCGGCGTGCACGGGCGCTCGGTGCTCGCGCAGGCCGGGGTCTGGCCGGGAGGGGGAGCCCCGCGTTCCGGCCCTCGCGACCCAGTCCGTGCCTCTGCGCTGCCTGCATCAGTTCGGGCTTCGGCTGGTTGCGAAGAGGAGCGAGGGCACCTCAGCCGGAGGCACCGCGTCCAGCCCGCGCGGGCGCCGAGAAACTTTGTGCTCCTGGGAACGGCGCGGAGCCGAGAACCCCGGGTACCGGACCTCTGCGCCCCTCAAGGTACACGGCCGCGCGGGAGGTGGGGTCTCTGGCTGCCGCCCGGCCTCTGCCGCTCGCGGCGTGGGGTCCCGCACCTAGTGGGATTATCGGCCGGGCCCCGCACCCGGGGTTGGGGGACGCGGAGGGCGCGCGGCGCGGAGAGGGGGCGGAGACCTGTTGACGCCGCGGTGCGGGGCGAGGGGCGGCGGGGCCGTGGCGAGGTCCGGGTTCCCCGCCCCGCGCGGGCTGTGCGGTAACTTTGTCCCGGGCGCGCGGGTAGACCCGTCTGGCGGAGCGCGGACTCCGAGGAACAAGCGTCGCGGTCGCAGCCGGCCGCCCCCACTAACTTCTGCCGGCTCCGGCCGCCTTTGTTGGGCAGAGGTGGGCTGGGGGCGGGGAGGCGCGGACACTGGGCGGCCCGGCCGGGCCAGGCGGGTCCCGGTTCCGGGGTGCTGAGACCTGGGCCCCGCGCTCGCCGGGCGCCCCGAAGCGGGCGGGCGCTGCCCCTCTTGTGCTCCAAGGCTGCGGCGCGCACCCCACGCGGGAGGAGCCGGCGGCCGGTTTCCTCGGAATGTGTTTACGGCGCTGGATGGGGCTGGAGCAGGAAGCTGGCCGCGGCCGCCGGACGCAGCGTGCCAGGAGAGAGTAAGGAGGACGCGGCTGGCGCGCCGGGCTCGGCCGGGCCCCTCCGCACCTCGGGCAAACTCCGCGGGAGCGCCGGCGGTCAGGCTCCCCTTCCCAGGGTCTTAGTTTCGTCCCCCAGTTTAGCTCGCCTTACTTCCATTTGCAGTCAGACTGTTCTACTTCATTCTGCGAGTTTGACAGAATACAGTGAGATCCACGGGAACGCTGTAGAGCATTTATTTTGTGTCTGCTCTTAAAAGGATATTGCAGCCGCATTTGAGAGGAGAAGGAAGATTGAGAGAGTTTTAATTATGGCTACCTCGTTAATGTATAGGGCGAGCGGGAGAACAGGAGGTGATGTTGTCTGCAGGCGCTCTTGGGTCATTAGGTCCTGAAGGAGAGGAGATTGAGAGACAGCGAATGGGAGGAGGTTGGAAACTCTTTGAGAGCAATTGGCGGTTTTCTAGATTTGCAAACCGCCTCCTCTCTGCCAGCCTCCCACCCCCCAAAAAACTAGTAGCCTCGTTAGAAAGCCCGTCGACTGGACAAGTACAGTCGCTGGTGACTGCAAGTTCGCTGCAAACAGCGGCCAGGCTAAGGTACTGCTCCCCTGCATGATGAAAAGGTCTCCTTGAGCTGTCCAGGAGGGTTTTCCAAGTTTACGACTGACAAGAGAGAAATTTGGCCGGCAGCCAAGCTAGACTGAGCTCAGTAGCCAGGCACGAAAGAGACTGGGGAAGTTGCAGGGATAATTGGAAAGGCGCTGGTGCTGGTACTTGGGCTTCAACAAGGGGGTTCTTTTGCAGTGAGGATTTGTGGGTGACTAGGATCAGTCTTCTTGGCAAAGCACACTGAGTGCAGCTGCATATGACCGGGGAGAGTGGAAGAAGGGTTGAAGGCGGGGCGTCTCACTTCTCAGAGCTTCAGTGTGAGAGCCCAGGCCCAGGGTCTTTTTGGTGATAATACGTTGCAAGTGTCCATGTAAGTGTACTGCGGCTTCACTCCCTTGACTTTGACCTTCTTTGTTTTGATGGTCAGTAACAACTATACACTTGGGTTTTGAGCAGACTTTTTTTTTTTTTTTTTTTTCTTAACCCAAATTGAATAATTCACTTCGGTATTCTCGAATCGCAGGGATTTGGGTCAGGGAATTAAAGTGGAAAATGTATTCATTATGCCTTCTTTGAGCTTCAGAAGTGATCCAGATAGAAGATCTTGCTCTTTCACCCAAATTGAAGTGTGGGGTGATTCCACACATTTGCTCAGTCTTACTGAATTCTAATTCCAGAACTGACAGAACTCAAAACTTTTTCTACAGTTCAGACCCTTCTTTTATGTGTAGGTGTCGTTTGTGTTTGTCTACTTTTTTTGTGTTTTAGGGAGGCGGGACTACTATTGTGGGTAAGGGAGTTGAAGGGTAAAAAAATTAACTACAAATGCAATTTGTATTTCTCCTGGACTTTTGAGTTGAGGGTTGGAACTATCAGCTCCCTGAGACTGACTTTATGAATCACTCTGTGCAGAGTACTTTTTCTGACTGTGAGTTCAGTTTTTCCAGTAAAGAAACTTTCCTTTACATAATCACAAGCTCACTGTGAGAATAAAAGAGAAGGAATGTTAGTAGGCATTTAGAATTAAAGGTCCTAGGGTTTCTGACTCAGTTCACTCAGTTAAGTTTATAGATGTTAATAGGAACATTTATGTGTAGAATAAATACATAATAATGACTTTTAATTTTTAAAAGTTACTGCTTTAACCTTTTAATCACAATTTTAGCTTGATTATAAATTTTTACAGGTGAGGACATTGGGTGAGATTTTGTTATACGTAAAGCTGAGTCATTTTTTCAATACAAAAAAATAATTGTCAAATGCATTACTATTTCAGTGTATAGTATGATCAAGACAAGTTATTTTTAAAGTCATGCTCAAATTTACCTTTATGAGAAGTTAACAAATATATTTGTAAAATGTGACTTCCTTCACAATAACACTTGAAAAACTAAAATACATGTATGACATACAATAAAATTTTCTATTTTCTTAGTACTTTAGAAGATAGATTTTGGAGCTATTCATTACATGATTCAACCGATATATATTACATGCCTATTATGAGCCATTGTTACTGTGTTTCAATCTTACAACAAAACTTCTCAGATCTGTTGATTTGTGCATCTTAATCATTTATTAAATATTTCCCCAGTGTATCATTTATTGTCTGTATTGCTATCTATGATGTGTAAACTGGCTAGTTGTTGATCCATACAAGATATTTTTTGGAATATTTAGTTTTTAGTTTGACCTGTCAGTCAGTGAAATGAACCATAGCTTGTTTGTTTCCTTTTGTGACAGGCTCTCACTCTGTAGTCCAGGCTGTCTTCATTCTCATGATCTTCTTGCTCAACCTCTATAGAGTGCTGGGATTACAGGTGTGCAGTACCATGCCTGGGTACTACCTGTGTCTTATCCTCCAGTGTATTGTGTTGTACTCACGAATATTGCACTTAACTCTATCAGATGGTCAAGCCAACTTAATAGAGAAAACAGAATAAATACAAATCAGTTTAAAGCGTAAAATGTTTTGGTAAAGGCTTAGAGATAGCTTTTGTTTTCAGCTTTACATGATCACGATAGTGAATCTGTAGGAAGTGAGAGTAAATGGGTTGTAGTGGTTGTGCTGAATTTATAGTGGCAGTGAAACTGTCAGTAGTGTCTTTTGAATCACCAAAAACAAATGATGTTCTTTTTGAATCATCAAAGAACTTTCAAGGATAATTTTATCATAAAATGTCTTAAGTTTCTCCTTGAAAATCCTTTCTCCATTGTGGAATGGAAATAATCTTTTTTTTTTTGCATTTTTACTGAGCACAGTGATAAAAAATTTACTTTATTTGAGTAAAATAACACACTCAGAGGTAGTTGCAGAAGCCAATTGCATGACTGGTGAGTTCTGGTCCCTAAATGTATTTAAGGAGGTGAGCTAATAGTGTTTGTTTTAGTGCATTTAGAAAGCAGGAAGCTTAAGATAGTTCCTGTGGGAGCCTGATGTATATTCAGATTGGAAGAAGAAAACTGCTGTGAACTTTGAACATAGAAGTCCACTTCCAAACAGTAGTTTATGAAATTGAAATCCGACCTTTAGTTTTGAAGAAAATTACTCCCAGTCAGTCTTCACGATGCAATGTAGAAAGCAGGGCATATGCTGCTTCAGTTTCTGTGATACGCTGTGATTGTTTTATGCTTAGAAGATATTTTTCTTCAGAACACAGTTAACTGATTCACATTGTTCAGGAGCGTGTTACTTTTCTGTTTGCATTTAATGGTGTAGCTCTGGTAAGTTTAACGTTAGATTTATCTTTCAGTATTGGGTGCATGAGAACAGTTTTGGAAAAGCTGCTCTCATTCACTCATAGAATAAAAGTAAGCAAGTTAATTTTGGTAGGAATTATGATCCGTACTGTATTTTACACTATATTTAATATAGGATTAATATAGCTTTTAAAAATAATTCTAAATGACTTC